TTCTTCTCTGGGCTCCGGTGTGACCAATAACGGCGCTGAAGACAAATACTCCTTGAGTTCGGCCAAAGCCCGGTCACACTCTTCATCCCAGGAGAACTTTGATTTCAAGGCTTGAAAAATGGGGCGGCAGCGATCTGATGACCGGCTTATAAATTGGTTAAGCGCGGCCGCCATTCCGGCCAGATGCTGCACATCCTTAGCCGAGCTAGGCTGTTTTAACTCTTGCACGGCTCAGATTTGTGTAGGGTCTGCTTCGATACCTCGGTTCGTGACTAGGAAATCCAAAAAAAATTCGGATCCCACGCCGAAGGCACACTTAGACGCATTCAGGTGTAGCTTGTGCTTTTTGAGAATGGCAAACATCTCGGCCAAATCGGATAAATGGTCTGCTTGATGTCGGCTCTTAACCACCATATCATCAATATAAGCCTCCATTGTCCAGCCTAACAGAGGAGCGAACATCTTGGTCACCATCCTTTGAAAAGTTGCCCCGGCGTTCTTCAAACCAAAAGGCATGACTCGGTAGCAGAAGAGTCCCCTTGGTGTAGTAAATGAGGTGATCTCTCGGTCGGGACCATGCATGGCAATCTGATGGTAGCCGCGGTAGGCGTCCAAGAAACTGAGCCTGTTATGTCCAGTCGTTAAGTCCACAAGCTGGTCTATTTTAGGTAGAGGGAAGCTATTTTTCGGACAAGCTCGGTTAACGGTCTTGTAGTCAACGCAAACTCGCCATTTCCCATTCTTTTTGGGCACCACGACCGTGTTGGAAATCCACCGAGGGTAGTGCACTTCCTGAATTGCTCATACCTTAAGCAAGTTCTTCACTTCCTCCGCAACTACCTCGGCATGATGCAGCGCCGATCTCCTTGTGCACTGAATGATTGGCTTTGCTCCAAGGAAAACATTGAGATGATGGCATATAAAACTCGGATCGAGACCGGGCATGTCGTAAGGTGACCATGCAAAAACTTCGATGTTGGCCATCAAAAACTCAACCATGTCGGTCCGTTCTTGGGTTGTAAGGCTTGAGCCGAGCAAGAAGAACTTGTCCGGATGCTTTGTATCAATGCGCACTTCCACCAACTCCTCGACAGCTTTGTCCTCGGCCTTGGTGCCCACGTTGTTAAGGACTCCCCGGTCTTCCGGTCCCTCAATCATTTGAACGAAGCCTTTGGCAGCTCGGCTCCCGTTGACCGCCACGAAGCATTGCTTCGACATGACTTGATTGCCCCAAACCTCCTCAATTGCCCCCATAACTGAGGGGAATCTCATCACCTGGTGGTAGGTTGACGCTACGGCTTGCATAGCGTGAAGCCATCCCCTTCCAAGGATCAAATTGTAAGTGGATGGCACTTGCAACACCCAGAACTCCACCTGTTTGACCACGGATCCCGTTTTGACCGGCAGGATAATTTTTCCCAAAGGTCACTCCGGTTGTGAGTTGAAACCAACCAATGGCGAAGTTGCCGGGGCCAAATCTGTATCCCGGAGCTGTAGCTGTTTGAAAGCGTCGTAGTACATGATCTCGACCGAGCTTCCCTGATCGATCAAGATCCGTTTGACATCAAATTCTTTGACGCGGAGTGTTACCACTAGGGCATCGCTGTGCGGCGTCTGAATGCGCTCTAGGTCTCTTGAGGAGAAACTGATCACGTCTTTCTCTTCAGTCTTCCCCCTTTTGATCGCAGGCTGAACCGACAAAACTTTCCTCATGCATTCTGCCTTCTTGATCATTCCTCGGAGCTCGCATACACGCGCCGGTTCCACTATGCCGTGGATGACATTAATAACCCCTTGGGGAGGCGCATCTCGGTCATCCGGTCCCCGCGGGTCAACCGGAGCTTGATTGGCCTTCACGCCGCCATCAATGTAAAGGTCCAAGTGTCCGGCTGCGACTAGCTCTTCCAAGTGTTGCCTCAAAGGCAAACAATCCTCTGTCCGATGGCCTCGCTCCCGATGAAACGTGCAACGGTACCGCGGATTGAAGCCCTTCTGTCTGTCACCTAACTTAGCAAGAAACCGGACATACTCCTCGTCACGAATTTCACTAAGTATGCGATAGATTGGAATCTTAAAGACCGTGGTGATGCCTGTCCTTGCTTTCAACCTTCTGTTAGCATCGGCTACGTCATCCCGGGGGTAGTCATCCCGGTCATTCTGACGTCCCCTACCCCGGTTTTTGCGATTAGTGCCACGGCCCGATTCCTCAGAGCGGTCGCTGGATCGGCGAACTCCTGCCCGACCGCGTGCACTTTGCCAGCTGACCGCTTGTCTGTTACTACCGGAGTTGCCTTCATGGTAGATGCTGACGCATCATCCTCCACTCGGATGTGCTCATTGATGCGCTGCATTAGCTGGCCCATAGATGTCAGCTGGTGCATGGTAAGCGAGTCCCGCAGTCTATGTCCGACCGGGAGACCACGCTTGTATTGTGTGATTACAAGGTTGACCGGGCAATCCAAGATCTCGTTGAAGGTCTCCCAATATCTGGAGTTGTATGCCTTCAATGTGTCGCTCGGTTCCATCTTGACACTCAGGAAGTGATCAACTTCCTTTGGTGTTTTGGTGTTGGTTTTGAAGCGCGTCACAAAGGCTTCGGCTAACTGATGCCACCTTTCAATGCTTCCCTCTAGCAACCTCTCGAACCATTTTAAGCCCAGCTTGCCCAAGCTTGACGGAAGATTAGGCACATAAGGGCGTCATTTCGCCTGTGTCCGGCCATGACCTGTCGGAAGTGGCTTACATGCATATAAGGATCGGTTTTTCCGTCATAGAGCGTGAACTTTGGCTGGTGGAACCCTGCCGGAAGCGGTGTTGTTTCTATCTCCAGGGAGAAAGGAGTGGCACTAAGCCTCGCCAAGTCTGTGTCTAAAAGGAGAGGCGCAGCCAGGCGGGGTGGAGGCATTCCGACCTCTTCACTGGTGTGAACCCCATAGGATAGCCATTGGAAAGCCGACACCCTCTGAGCTTCCCGTCGGTGAGCTTGTTCCTTCAAGACTACCCGCAAATCCTCTGAATGAGCAGAATAAGAATACCTCGATGTCATTGCTGGACGTGAGGGTCGGTAGGTACTATCTTGCGCGCTGGACTTCTCTTCATGCAGGTCGAAATCTCCAACCTTGTAACTTCTGGTGATGGAAATAGACACAGTGTGTCGCTGACTCTGACTGCCTGAACGGCGGGGTTGGGTGCACTCACTGTGGTCTCCCACTCCAGCTACACCCTTCCCTTTAGCATGCCGCTTCAGCTCCTCCATCTCCGCCGCCATTCGCCGGATGACGGCGTCCTGGTCCCTTAACTTGTGTTCCAGACGTCTGGCATATGATTCTCTCTGCCGCCGATGACCGTCTGGACTCCGTGAATGACCATAACTTCTTCCGCGCTTATCCCGCGCATCTCTTGAATGTCCTCCTGGAGAAGTCTCCAGGTCCGCCATCGGAGGAACGATGGTGGGATGCCCTTCTCTCCGTCTGCCCGACTCTGGGGTAACTCCGTCGACGGCGAACAGCGGAATTTCTTCGTTGTTCGCCATGGACGGTGATCAAACGAGCCTGGAAGACAAGGTTTTGTCTGCAAACTTCCCACAGACGGCGCCAATTGTACAGGGAGCAAATATTCAAGCAAGCCTGCACTCCTTTCTTCCAAGCTCCTGTCTGTCCGATCGACCTGCAAACACAACGGCGGTGAGCTACCTGGCGGTGTGTGGCCGGAAACCCCTCCGACGATCAAGTTAGACACACACACCAGGATGGAGAGAGAGAGAGGACTGAGTTGTGTTTAGTGTATGTCTCACCAAATTGTCATCTGTCCAGCATGGGGGGCGCAGACTTGCTTATATACCTTCTGCGCCCCAAATCTACTCACATTCATCTCTCGACACGTGGTGCTACTATCCTATCTGTCAGCACAAATCTTGCTGAATATCACCTAACCCGACTGCCAGCCCACTGCATTAGGAGCTCGGCAGCCGGGCTGTAGCATCTCGGGTGTCAACGGCCATGTTGCGTTTCATGCCCAGATGCCCCCAACAACCGAGCTCCTTTCCAGCCATGCTCAATTGCATTCCGGCGAAGCCAAGCTTGAGATAGGTCATACCGGTCAACCAAAGTCCTTCCTGTCGAGCTTCAGGCATGAGCCTTCACACCGAGCTATGGATGTGTGCTTTCCAACCGCGCAACGCATAAACCGTGGAACCCTTACTTGACCGGCCTCTGTGAAGACAAGGTGAAGTAGCCCGGTTCCACATGCCCTTGCCATTGCCGAGCAAAAATCACTTTTGGATGGACCCGGGATACCACGGCCCAAATGTGTTCGGCCCACAATTTACCAGGTATTACCATGGCCCAATCCAGACCATATTTTTCCCTCTCAGTAAGTAAAACATTTTTTAATAAAAATATTTTTGCATCATTTTTCCGAAAATGATTTACCTTAAAAAATTTCTTAAATTAATTTTTTACAAAATTGACTATCAATCACTACATTTTCAAATAAATATTTTAACACACTAAAAGGTTATAAATAACACTTTATTGAATCAAAATTTCTCTTTTAAGTAATAAAATATTTTTGTTTCAAGCGTCAACTAAACGCTGAAAAACAAAAGACAAATTTTATTTTTTGTAAAATCAATTTACAAGAAAAATATTTTTTCTATAAAATATTTTACGTCAAAACAAACAAAGCCTTATACTTTCTTAAAATTTCATAATCAATTTGGGGGGGAAAAAATAACAATAAAACATTAAAAAAAAAACAACTATATATGCAACATATCTTCCAAAACAATTAACTAACTCCATGAAAACACAAATTATTTTTCTTATACTTTAAAATTTCATAGTCAATTTCGAGGGAGGGGGGGACATAAGAAAAAACTTTGCACGACATATCTTCCATGCCAATTAACAAACTCCATGAAAACACTAAAAACAATTCCCAAAAAAATGGGAAGAAAATGTTATTCGTATCAACAATCAGTTTTAATAAGTGTGTCACGATCAGATCATCTCCTGGCTCTTTGGACCGTCATCATTCATGAACTTCTTCCACACTGGATGGTGCTTCCACACCCTTTCCACAATGGAATCGATCGAAACGCCCTTCGTTTCCGGCACGAGGAACACCACAAACAATCCCATGACCAAAATCCAAGGCGAGAAGAAAAAAAATATGAAGGCTCGCATGTGACAGAGCATCGATAAAAAAGCTTGAGCCACCAAGAAAGTCATCAACATGTTGGAGCTGACAGCGAAAGCAAAGCCTGAGGTTCTAGTCTCGAGAGGGAAGGTTTCGCTAGGAATCAGCCAACTAAGAGGTCCCCATGACCATGCAAAGCACATAACATACAAGAACACCAGCACCATGTTAGGACTATAGGACACCAGAAATCAATTTCACAAAATAACACAAGAATATTTACGTGGTTCAGCAAATGTCTACGTCCACGGAGAGATATCCACTATAGAATTATCCTGGAGGGAAATTACAGAACTCACACCTCACAACTCTCTATAGAACTCTCACACTTATAGATTATACTCTCCTCTGTGTATTCTCAGCTCAGTGTGTCACTCCCATATCTCTCTCCAACCCCTCCTCACTTATGTCAATTTATAACCAAGTGAAGAGGAGTAGGTGAAGTGACAGCCATGAGTGGGCTTGGTTGTGCCACCCTCACCATCTACCTTTGGTGAGTTGGTACTGCCCCACCAGCTTCATTTACCACATGGTGCCACCCATACCATGTTAATAGTGGGCTCCTTACCATGTGGGTAGTGGATGGAGCTAACAATTCTCTCCCTCCACGCCCACATGGATAACTGACTTCTCACTTGAAGTCCATCCCGGTCAGATTTTTGCAAACTTCCAGTTTGTCTCTGGTGACACCCTTGGTCATCATGTCAGAAGGATTCTTGTCCGTGTGAATCTTCACTAGCTTCATCAGTTGCTTTTTCATTTCTCGTATCCAATGATACCGGACATTAATGTGTTTTGTATGTGAATGGTATATGGAATTCTTGCTCAGATCAATTGCACTCTGACTATCACAATATACCCTGTACTCTTCCTGCTGTAGACCCAATTCTTGGAGAAACTACTTTAACCACAACATTTCCTTTCCAGCATCGGCGGTAGCAATGTACTCTGCCTCTGTTGTAGATAAAGCAACACACTTTTGTAGTTTGGACTGCCATGAAACAGCTCCTCCTACAAAGGTAAATAGAAATCCTGATGTAGACTTTCTACCATCAAGATCACCTGCCATATCAGCATCTGTAAAACGCTCTAAAATTGGTTCAGCTCCCCCAAAACATAAACACATCTTTGAAGTTCCCTTCAAGTACCGAAGAATCCATTTGACCGCCTCTCAATGCTCCTTTCCTAGATTGGCGAGGAATCTGCTCACAACGCCAACTGCGTGAGCTATGTCGGGCCGGGTATACACCATTGCATACATCAAACTTCCTACTACGGAAGAATAAGGGATTGTCTCCATTTCTTTCCTTGTAGAGCTGGTTGTGGGACACAAACGCTTTGACACATTGAAATGGTTGGCCAGTGGTGTGCTGGCTGGCTTGGCATCTTTCATGTTGAACCTTTCAATTACCCATTCAACATATTTCTCATGTGATAGCCATATCTTCTTGGCTTTCCTGTCACAAACAATCTTCATGCCCAAAATTTACTATGCTAGGCCTAAATTCTTCATGTCAAAATACTGCGACAAGTCCTTTTTCAACTTGTTGATAGTAGTATCTTGTCCGATGATCAGCATATCATCGACATACAACAGTAGGATAATGAAGCTTCTATCCGAAAACCTTCGGAAATATACACACTAGTCTGCCACCGTTCTTGTGTACTCGTGATCCACCATAAATGAATCAAACTTCTTGTAGCATTGTCTCAGCGCCAGTTTCAGGCCGTAGAGACTCTTCTTTAGTTTGCAGACTAGATTTTGTTTTCCTTTAACTTCAAATCCTTCTGGTTGCTCCATATAGATCTCTTCCTCCAAATCACCATGAAGAAAGGCAGTCTTGACATCCATTTGTTCTACTTCCATATTCAAGCGAGCTGCTAATCCCAAAGCTACTCGAATGGAAGTCATCTTCACAACTGGGAAGAAGATCTCATCAAAATTAATTCATTTCTGCTGCCCAAAGCCTTTGACCACCAAACGAGCTTTATGCTGCAATAGTTTACCGTTTCCATCTTTCTTCAACTTATACACCCATTTGTTCTTCAAGGCTCTCTTGTCTCTTGGAAGTAGAACAAGCTCATAAGTATGGTTCTTCTGCAAAGAACTCATCTCCTCTTTCATGGCTTGCGTCCAACAGTCTTTTTCTGTATGACTTTTGGCTTTCGAAAAACTCTCGGGCTCTCCCTCATCAGTAATCAGAATATACTGAGAAGCGGGATATTTGGTTGATAGCACAGCAGCTCTTCCAGATCTCCGCAACTGAGGCCCAGTTGGCTCTAGTTGAGGGGGTTGCTCCCCCCGCTCAATACCCTCTTCATCTGGGTCTTCATCTCTTTCCTCCTGATCCTCAATTTCTGGCATAGGATCCTGTAACTCTGGCACTTCTTGTTGCACATCATCACATCTAGCATTTTGTGATGGCTCAAGAGATGGAAACAAGTCTGGAGTGATGACATCTCTAGACTTTGCAAACTATCTGGTCTTCTTGGAACACAACATCTCTGCTCCTGAACATCTTCTTGTTCACTGGGTCTCACGTGTTGTACACAAATGCTACATCTGAATAGCCCACAAATTTGCATGGAGTGGACTTGTCATCAAGCTTCTGTCTGTTTTCCTTGGAGATGTGTGCAAAGGCCTTATACCCGAAAACTCTCAAGTGAGAATATGATACCTTTCTTCTGGACCAAACTTCCTCAGGTATTGCAAAATTCAACGGGACTGAAGGTGACCTGTTGATGAGATAACAGGCTGTACGGGCGACTTTAGCCCAGAATGACTTTGGCAACTTTGCCATTTTGAGCATACATCTGACTCTTTCCATAATAGTGCGGTTCATCCTTTCTGCCACACCATTGTGTTGTGGGGTGCCGGGAATTGTTGTCTCGTGCCGGATACCTCTGCTGGCACAGTACGTTGCAAAAGCATTGGAAATGTACTCACCTCCATTGTCTGTGCGAAGACACTTCAACTTCTTCCTAGTCTCTCTTTCCACCATTGCATGGAACTCCTGAAAGTGCTGAAATACCTCATCCTTTGTCTTCAGAAAATACTTGCGGCTGCCATGTGACTCCACGTCGATTGGGCCACAAACATCCGAGTATACCATATTGAGCACTTCTGTTTTTCTCTTGCTCGTTGAACTGAATGACACTCGATGTTGCTTGCCATAAAGGCAATGTTCACACGGCTTCAAGGCACTCCTTGTGGATAACGGTATCTTGGATTGCTTTGCCAACAGATGCAATCCCTTCTCACTCATGTAAGCCAATCTTCTGTGCCATAAGTCCGGTGACTCATTGTCTTCTACTGCATTAAGACTTTTCAGACAGATCTTTGTTTGAGTCTTATACAGTGTTGAAGACATCTCTCCTGTAGCGATTGTCAAAGCTCCTCCTGTCAGCTTCCAACGGCCATTTCCGAATGTACTTCTATAGCCCTGCCAGTCCAAGGCGCTTTCGGAAATAAGATTGAGGCGCAAATCTGGAACATGCCTCACATCTTTGAGAACCATCTTGTTCCCGACATTAGTTTGAATGCTAATGTTGCCAATACCCACAATCTTCGAATAGCTAGAATTTTCTATTCGAACAGTGCCAAAATCTCCAACGTTGTATGAGCTAAAGAGTTCTCTGTGGGAAGTGGCGTGATAGGATGCAGCTGTGTCTATCACCCATTCTGGTAGTTGTGGTTAGCCACGTGAAGGCAATCTTCCTCTTCACCAACTGCAAGAAGTATTTCATCAGTTGTTATGGCTGTTATGTTCTCATCTCCTTTGGACTTACTGCTTTGGCCTTTCTCTTTCCGGCTTGGGCAGTTTCTCTTTATGTAACCCTCCTGGCCACAATAAAAACAAGTGAAGCTGGAGTTACCTCGACCTTTGTTGTCTCTAGATTTACTCCTGCTGTTCTAGCTGCCTCTACTTTTACTTCTCCATCTACCTCTTCATTTACCTCTTTCTCTGTCTCTATCTTCTGTGACAAGAGCATGGGACTGATTACTTTCCATGTTTTTTATTCTTGTCTCTTCATTGTACATGCTCTTGGCCATGATTACTTTCCATGATTAATCAGTTTCTCTTGGGACTGATTACTTTCCATGATTACTTTCCATGCTCACGGCCAACTTCCCTTCTGGTGCAGAGTTGCTGAGAGAGACCACCAACGTCTCCCAACTCTCCGGTAATGAACTGAGCAGTAGTATGGCTTGCATTTCATCGTTTAAGCGCATCTTGACGGTTGCAAGCTAATTCACTAGATTTTTGAATTCACTGGTGTGCTCAGCAGCAGACATTCCATTCTTCAACTTCAAATTGACAAGCCTTCTCATCACCAAGGCTTTGTTCCGAGCGGTCTTTGACCAGTACATGTCGTCTAACATTGTCCATATAGAATAGGCATCTGTCTCCTCGGCAACATGATGGTACACACTATGGTCTATCCATTGTCTAATACAACCGATAGTCTTACGGTTTCTCTTTATCCAGTCATCATCTTTCACTCCTTCAGGTTTAACCCCTTTTATAAAAATATGGTCAAATAGGTCTTTATAAAACAGGATGTCTTCCATCTGTGACTTCCAAATTACACAATTGGAAGGAGTCAACTTGAACATAGATCCTGAAGTTGATGTGGATTCCTCCATCATATTCTTTCTTTTTACAGAAAACTCCAAATGAAAAATCTGACCATACTGATGTGTCTGGAATACTCCGAATAGTTGGAAACCACTATCGGATCGTCAAAAATGGACTCAGAATGGCTCAGAACAAGCCAAAACAGTTTGTACAGTTCAGATCTGCAAGTGTACGATAGCCGCGCAGCAACGGGTCACTCTCTGCCTCTGGGTAGACTGGTCAACAGGGTTGATGACGTCGGCAGCAACGTGGCAATGGCTTGGCTGACGTGGCAGCCACGTGTCAGTGACGTGATGCTTACGTGTCAGACATATGGCAGTGACCTGGCGATGATGTGGCAGACATGTGTCAGTGGCGTGGCGCTTACGTGTCAGACACGTGACAGTGACCTGACGATGAGGTGATAGCCACGTGTCAGTGACGTAGCTCTTACGTATCAGACACGTGGCAGTGACCTGGCGATAACGTGGCATCCACGTGTCAGTGACGTGACGCTTACGTGTCAGACACGTGGCAGTGACCTAGCAATGACGTGGCAGCCACGTGTCAATGACGTGGCAGCCACGTGTCAATGACGTGGCGTCTAACATCACACACACACGCAACACACTCGTCTTCCTCCATGAGCAGCGCATGTGACGCGCGGGAGAGAGTGAGATCACACGCCGACTACACTTCACAGCGCGTAGGGTGCGTGCAGAGAGTGGGATTCACGCGCAGACTTTGGGGAGCGCGTGAAAGCGCGTGCAAGCTCTTTTGGGGCTCTTCTTTGCAGTTTTGGACTCCTCAGAGTCCTTGCTCCTGGTATGTTCAAAACCTGATTTCGAGCGCGTGCAAGAACATAATCGCATTAATCCCAGTCATTTGCTAAAATATCTGCAACATAATCCCTATGACTAGTGGTGGCACGCTCGAGCGCTTCATTAGTTTCTTAAAAGGTTGCTTCACTTCCTTGGCTATCTCACATGCCCTTTTCACTTCTTCATACTCGTCTTCCACGTTGTCCACACCTCAGTTTTTCTTGAGTGCTGCTTTGCCTTTAGTGTCCTTGCCTCGTTCAATAAGGCTAGCCGGTGTTTCGGTGAGAATCATGGAGCCGAAGAAAAGGACAAGGTCGAGA